GGAACACCATGACAGTTTGTAAAGCTGACCCACCCAACATGTGGTCATGTGACCATAGAACAGTGGTGGATTGCCAATTTTTCTACTACCGGTTCGGGCATGTGCAACACTTCTGCGCATGTGCAGAAGTGTCTGGGTGGGTAGGTGCTTCCCGTCGCTGCTACTACCAGTTTGCCCGATCCTGGCTAAACCGGGAACAACCCACCTCTGCCATAAAGGGTGCAGCATGATCACTTATGACAGCTAGGGGTGCTTTATGGCCATAAAGCATCCATTACATGGCTTTCATGTAATGGGTGTTTTCATATGAACAGTCATAAAATGGCCAGTCGCTAAGTGAGGAGTACCTGTTAAATTTTAATTGTTTATAATCAATGAATTTAAAACAGAAACCATATGTGCCCCCCTTAAATTCCAAAATACTATGCTAAGACCTTATTAAGAGAGAAGATAAAATCAGCAGCGAGATTTTAACTTAAATTTACATAGCCCTATAGCAAATTGGAATAGAATTATACCATTTCCAACTTAACAAATCTAGTTTCCTCAGTTATGATCAATGATGAATCAGATATGCGGCAGATAAATATCAAATATGATGTTCAGCCAAGGACGGGGGGGGATTCCTCTCTCTCCCCCTCCCATAGAGCAGCTGAAAGAAATACTTTTTTCTATAGCAAAATTATATAATTCATTACTTCAGGATATTATAGTGGGTGCTGACTTAGTTAGTTCTGAAAACGATTAGATTAGGTAACACCTCCAGATGTGGCACACTTTTCTGGAATTGAGGCACTGTGATTGAGATTTGGGAATAGGGTCAGAAGCAAAGCAAATTGAATAAGCAACTTTCTTTTTTTTATGACTGGACATTTTACAAAATACAGCATTTGTCCAACAAGTGAATATCCAGTTTTGTTTGTAGTTATATGTTTTTTCTAAGCTTTAAAGTCTTTAAAATCACACCAGTAATCGAATTACTCTTCTACAATTACATTTTTTCCTTTTGAAGATCTTATTGTATTTCTTCAGCAATCCCCCATACCTTAGACCAGTGGGTCTCAACCTTCCTAATGCCTAAGGTGACCAGACGTCCCGCTTTTGGCGGGACACACCCGCCTTCCAACGCATTTTCCCGCGTCCCGCCCGCCTTTTTAAAA